TCTAGGTGCCAACCAAGTAAGTTCTCTCCCTGAAGAGGGGCTCTAGGTGCCAACCAAGTAAGTTCTCTCCCTGAGGAGGGGCTCTAGGTGCCAACCAAGTAAGTTCTCTGTCATTTTTTTTAAATCAATAACTCCTCAAGTAAAATTTTATCCTTCTCAAAGAACTCTGATGCAGTTTTATGGCTGAGAGCTTTTATCAGTGTAAAAGGCTAACCTCACTAAACAAATTTCAGTAAAATATAAAAACAAGTTATTAAGGTGTGTACCTGCAAGTTATAAAGGTGTGAGGACAAGTAAAGCTATCAAATTTCTCTCTTACACTGCCTTTCTTTTTCTTTTCTTTGCTCTTTCTTTTTCTTTTTTTCTTTTTTGAGACAGGGTTTCTCTATGTCACTCTGTTGCCTACCCTGGAACTAGCTCTAGTAGACCAGGCTGGCCTTGAACTCATAGAGAACCTCCTGCCTCTGCCTACCAAGTGCTGGAATTAAAGATGTGTGCCACCACTGCCCAGCTGCCTTTCATAGTCTTAAAAATACTTTCCATTGTGCAAAAATATCCGTCACAGTCATTATGACATAAATATGCTACTGATTATACAATGTACATGTCTAAAACTTAAATTTTTACAAACCCAAAGAATTCTTGTGAGTTCCAGGGAGCTGAATTGAAGAATCCACCTTAAACAGGTCAGGTATACCCCTCTCAATTCCCTGATCCTGAAATTTTTTTTCTCTTCCTAAACTTAACTTTTCCCTCTGTTCTGCCACCACCTTGCCAGGTCCAAGAGACACCAGACATTTCCATACAACAAACCCTGGATAGCAGTAAAAAGACCAGCACCTAGCTTTCTCAAGTTCCCCACCCAGGATGACACCCACAAATAAGCAAGAAGCAGTCTTGAGAATCTGCTGTCCCAATTCCTTTAAACTGTTGTGCCTAACTTCCTGCCTTTTTATTATAAAAAAGATGTGGGAATGTAATGGTCTGTCCTGTCCCTTTAAGAGACAAGTCCCACCCTCTCCCAACCCCTCACCTTCTGCCAAGGGAAGTGGATATCTCACCTACTCCAGCCTGTACACCCTCTCTTTCCATCTCTCTCCCAAAGAAGTAACTTCTGCTTTATCTCTCTCTCCTTCTCTCTCTCTCTTTCTCTCTTTCTCTCTCTTCTCTCCCTCTCCTTCTTCCCCTCCATAACCCACTAAATAAACTATACCCAAATCCTCTCTCTGCATGATGTATCTGTCTGTCTCTTACCTGCCAAGGTGACCCTCCAAGGCCTCAGGGGACTTGCCGAGGCCTCAGGTCACCCACCACTACCCCTTGTGGGACCAGCTGTCCCTCATGGGACTGGCCTCCCCCCCACTTTATCTTTAAAAGAGAATTACACAGCTTTCATCTCTCACATGTTGAGATCATAGGTGTGTACCACCATGCCTCACTTTAGTGTTCTTTGAAGACTTGTGTCTTCATGTAAGGTTGCAGCATCCGGGGGCTGGTGGTCCTGGGTTCTGTAAGAAAGCAAACCATAAAGAGCAAGCCAGTAAGCAACAACCCTCTATGGCCTCTACATTAGTTTCTGCCCCTAGGATCCTGCCCTGTTTGAATTCCTGTCCTGATTTCCTTCTCTGATGAACAGCAATGTGGAAGTGTAAGCCAAATAACTTAGTTTGGGGGGTGGGCATGGTGTTTTGTCACAGCAATGTAAACCCTAAGACATGGACTAAACCTCTGAAACTGCAAGCAAGCCCCAATTAAAGGCTTCCTTTTGCAAGAATTGCCATGGTCATGGTGCCTCTTCACAGCAACAGAACACTAAGACAGTTGGATTCAGGACTACAGTTCTGGCTAGACTCAGGTGGGGTTTTTTAAGGCAAAAATCAGTTTCTTCCAGCAGAGGTGTACTTCTTAGGCAGGAGATAACATCCTGAGTCTTTTGCATTCTTAGAATAGTTTAAATTCTTGCAATTGTCTTAGGGACTTCAGGTTGCTGATAGGGCAGGCCTCTGGCCTCTAAGGTGGTTGGTTGTTTTGGTCAAAATGGAGTCCTCAGCTCTTTCCAACTCTTGTGTGTTTGTGTGTGTGTATTATGTATGTATGTACCTATGTATGTTTATATTTGAGGAAGGACATAGACCAAAACACAATACTTCTTCCATGGGGTTCCAATTCCAGATGCTTAGCAAGGACACACTGTATAGGAATCTGTGGCTGGTCTAAGAAATTGGAGACCAGTTTTTTCAAGGTAGTTTTAGCAATTAAAATTATTCTTAGGAATACTTTCACGAGATGGGTAAATATAGTTTAGTAGCCTTATAGCCTTATATCCCCCTAGGAGAATGAGTTGAATCATAGACTCATAATCTGGGGGGTTTGATTTTAGGGCCCCTGGTATCTATAGTAGTTTTTTCCTTTTGGTTGACTGGGAGAAATACAAAGGGCTAGATATTAGAAATCACTCCCAGCCTGTGCTCAGGGGACTCAGTGACTCAGCAGCTACTTCATCACTAGTTGTCATCCCTTTCAAAGGTCCCTGCTATCCAAGATTGTTCTCTTGTTTTTTCTCTCTGTCTTCCAGTCTTGTCTGTCTGTCCATATCTCTCTCTTACGTCCCTGCTCCATAAACCTCTTGGGTTAGATATGTTACGTGTTAGTGCAGACCTGTTAGGATTCCAGCATTATACTCACCCTGTCCCCTGTCATCTGGCAGGATGTGCACACCAGCATTCAGGCAAATACTTAGTCAGCCCAGGGGCCCTAAAGTCATGCATCGCTACATCACGTGCTACGAGACTACGTCATGTGTTGCATGGCTGCATAAGGCTCTGTATACATTGAAATGGATTAATAAAAAATGCTGCAGGATTCCCAGCAGCTGCTGCGGCAGTCCCCAAGTGGGGACAGGCAATGGGCCCCAATCCCAGGCAGGGATGACACATGAGACCATGCCGGAGACCTGCAGGTCTCCCAAGGCAGCTGGTCCCAGGTGGCAAGCCATGTGGCAGCAGTGAGTGAGAGACAGACAGATAGGTACGCCATTCAGAGTGAGGTTGGATGTTTATCTAGTGGGTTATGGAAGTATGGAAGGGACGGGGGAGAAGAGCAGAGAAAGAGAGAGAGGTGAGAGAGAGAGAGAGAGAGAGAGAGAAAGAGAGAAAGAGAGAGGGAAAGAGGGAGAGAAGGAAGAGACCGGAGCTGCCTCTTTGAGAGGAAGACAGAAAAGGAAGAGACTCAGGCTGCAAGCAGGAAGGAAGATCTGCCTGCCTTAGTGGACAGGGGAGGGAGTGGGCATGGCTTGTCTCTTAAAGAGACAGAACAGATCATTACATTCCCATCTCTTTTTATAATAAAAAGGCAAGAAGTTAGGCACCACAAGTTGAGGGAATTGGACGGCAGATTAACAAGACTGCTTCCTGCTTATTTATGGGTGTTGTCTTTGTGTGTGGGGGGACCTGAGAAGGACTGGGTGCTGGTCACATCCAGGCATAGCTGGTCTCTTTGCTCCTGTCTGGTGTTTATGGTATGGAAATGCCTCTTTAAGGTATTGGCAGAACAGAGGACAAAGTTAAGTTTAGGAAAAGAAAATTTAGCACCAGGGAATTGAAAGGGGTGTATCTGAGCTGTTTAATGTGGATCCTTCAATTCGGCTCCCTGGAACTCACAAGAATTCTTTGGGTTTGTGAAAACAGAAGTTTTAGACATATACATTGTATAAACAGTAGCATATTTATGTCAGAATGACTGTGACAGATATTTTTGCACAATGAAAAGTATTTTTAAGACTATGGAAGGCAGCATGAGAAAGAAATTTGATTAACTTGTATTTGTTCTCATACCTTTATAACTTGCAGATCTTGTATTTGTATTTTACTGAGAATTGTTTGGTGAGGTTGTCCTTTTAAACTGACAAAACCTCTTAGATGTCAAACTGCATCAGAGATCTTTGGGAAGGATATATTTTTACTTGAGTTACTGATTAAAAAACAACAGAGAACTTACTTGGTTTGTACCTAGAGCTACTCCTCAGAGTTCTCCATGGTCGCTGAAGGTCTTGATTTGCCTTTTGCCGTTTAGCGCAGGGCCTGCCAGGCTCCAGCAGATCCTGTGGGCTAAGAAATCTTTAGGAAGACAAGCCTACCTTGACTTGAGCAGGTAGGCTGTCGATTCCAGCAGTTCTGTACACTCTCTGGTAATCTTCAGTTTAGATGAAAGGCAGTTTTTCCCAGTGGTCAGTGCTCGGCAGTTGAAGTGAATTGCGGATGGACGTTGTTGTGTGCCCATTTGTCTTCTGTCTTCTGTCTTCTTTGGAGGAAGTAGAGTGCTGCTGCTAGGATCCAACCTGTCTCTTTTGTTATGAAAAGTTTTTTTAAAATTAAATATTTAAATTCCATATTTCCCAGATCTCTGAGAAGTTGATGGCTGTTTATCAGGTGTAACTACAGTATAGAATCTGCCTGAAGAGCTGGGTCTGAGCTTGACTGTACTGGCTCTTAACAGGTGAAATTTACACTCATAAAAAGACAGAAAGAAGAAAAAACTGCTTGCAATAGAAGGTTAATGGCAGAACTGACAATAGTAGAAAACAGCTTAATATGTTTTAAGATTAAAAATTTGGATTAACTATAAAATACTTTTGTAAGAGACTTAAAAGAAAATGCCAGTTTAAAACATGAGACTTATTGTTTTTGTAGTCTGAAATGAGATGCAATAAACAAACAATTATAACATTTAACAGTAAGCATAGGTGCATTTAAGTTACATATATGAACACACACACAGAGTGAACAGGAATTGGGTGAAGTGGATGCTCTTGGTGGGCCCTATCAAAGGCATGCCACTGTTCAAAACACACATGCAACAGAGTCAGCAAGAGGAATTTAGAGACAAAAACATAACTAAACTGGGGGACCAGGCAGGGTATACTTCCGTAAAGATGGTGGGACTTGGTCACCTGATCTGGCTCTCAGTTAAGATGGCAGTAAAATCACCTGGCCTCAGTTAAGATGGCGGTAAGGTCTCATGTTGTATGGAAAAGCCACTCAGTTAAGATGGCAGTGAAGTCACCTAACCTCAGTCAAAATGGCAGTGGTCACATGTTGTATGGAAAATCCACGATTACACACACGGGCAAAGTTTCCCTTTTAAGCAAGCCTGTTTGGCTCTTCACTTCCTTTCCCTACTGATCACCACAATCCCCTCCCACCCTCCTTCTCTTGTTGTGCCCAGATCCTCAAAGTCCCCCGCAAAACCAACAAGGAGACCGAGTCCCGTATATAAAAGCAAAGAGCCTTTATTTTAATACAAATTTGCAAACTCTCCATGTGCCCAACATATTGGAATAATGGAGAGCCCTGAGATTAGTTAGAGTTGGGTTTTTATAGTAGTAAAGGTGGGGTGAGGAGTTTCTAAAGTTCAGGACCCTGATTGGCTGACATTTGACTAGGGCGTCCTGGTGAGTGTGTGCTGAGAGGTGATCCTATCTACAATGGTTGGAATGTTAGGAATATTCTTCGGATGGTCTGTTCCTGGGTGGTGCCTGGGTAATCTAAGTTTGTGGTCCTTCCTGCCTCCAGGTATTGCCTCAGGGTAAACTACTGAGACTCAGGCCTCCATTAAGCTTATCCTGGCTGGGTCCTACACTGGCAGATGGTAATGGTTGGAAGTTAAGAACTTCCTTTAGGTGGTCTATTCCTATTAAGCTTATCATGGCTGGCTGAGTTCTACCCTCTCTAATAAACTTCCACGTGGGTTTGTTGTACTCTGTGACTAAAACAACACCTTGGCCCCAACCTACCAAGGTACCATCTGCAGCTAAATCCTGACTTTGGTGCTGAGACTCAGTAGATACTCTCCTGGTGTCTGTGAGCTCCCCCTTGGGGGTCTAAGCCACACTGGGACCCTACCCTGTAGCAGACTTTTTCTTTTCGGCTACCAATCAGCTCCCAAATCTAGATAAGAGAGAACAAGAGGAGAGAATGAGGGAGAAGAGAGGGAGACACCTGGGTCAGCCAGCCAGGCAGCCGCTAGCCACCTAGATGGAGAAAGGTAAAAAGCCCCTAGGTAAAACGTAGATAAAGAGAAACAGACTAAAATAGGAGCTAAAATAAAGTCAAACATTCAAAACCAATAATTTGCCTCTATGTCATGATTTTGGAGGTGGTTGGTTGTCTGAAAGAAAAAGCCTGCTACATTTCCACACAGGGCCTGAGATAGCTGGGGGAAAAGCCAGTATTCTAAGTAGAAGCAGCAAGCTAAGTAAAAGTGCCTGCCACAGTGAGGGGCACTAGCTTCCTGGAGCTGGAGCTATGGAATGCAGCTCCCAGTCTAATGCAGTTCCAGACTGGGGCTGCAGGCTTAGGCTTGGCTTTCATGGACCCCAAAAGGGGTCAGAGTCAGGCATCAGTGCCTCCAGAGGAGGGCCTGGCTACCAGCACTTAGCAGTTTGAAGTTTGGCTCATGCCATCAGAAAAGGATAGAGATAGAAAAATAAAGACAGATCCAGAGTTACTTTCTTGTTGACATAGGTGTGGTCTTGATGGAGGAAGTGTGTCACTGTGGAGGCAGGCTTTGAGATCCCGTGCACAAGCCATATCCAGTGTCTCAGCCCATTTCCTATTGCCTGAGGGTCAAGATTTAGCACAGGACCATGCCCCCCGTCATGAAATGCTGACACTGGAAGCCACAACCTCAGGTAAACGTTGTAAAGGTTGCTGTGGTCATGGTGTCTCTGAGCGATAGAACCCTGACTAGGACAGCACAACCACGAGCCTAGTTCCGAGCGCATTAAAGAACATCACCGTGTATGAGGTGACTGAACATTAACTTGTCTGTCTTCATTATATTTAACGGTTTACAACGAGTTGGCGACTCTCATAAGATTAGGATTTTGGAGTTTTATCCCTGTTAAGTTTTAGCCTTTAAAATTTGAATTTAATATTTAATTGAAGATTCTTTAGCTCCAAAATAAAAGTTTGAACCATAAATACAGAACACGGAGAGACTGGCAGCCTTAATTTCCTAGTTTTAACTACATGGTCCATTACAAAGGGTCATAGTTTCATGTAGGACTCAGTTTACCCAAATAGCTAAAGTTTAACAAAGTTAGCAAAGACAAAAGAGGCTAGCTATATGTCTTCCAATTAGTTTCTACTAGCCCAAGTAAGCTGTAAAAATTCTTAAGCCGTATTTATCAAACGCACCTTATCCTTCTCTAAAAAGTTTTAGGAACTTGGCACTGAACAGTTAGTGAAGTCACAGGACATATGTCTCTAAGTCAGGTTCTGTTCATCTGAGCAGACCTTTATAACCTTGGGAAGTTATAAGCCTTAATCAAGCACACATTATTCAAACACATGTTGGTGGTCTTTTCCCTGACCCAGGCTTGTGACCTAAATAAGCTTTACCTAGCAGGTCGGCCCAGATGCAGTCTCTCTCATGGCTCCCTTGTTACCTACCAGTCAGCCCTCCTGCCCCTCCCATAGGTGGTTTCAGACTTTCCACCTAACTCCTGCACCACAGTAGATAATACATTTCAGACCTCCTCTGATTCCTCATCCTGGTAATCTCAGCGTTTCTCCTCATTCTCATGATTCATTTGTCCTGTTCCCTCTAGCCATCTAGTCCACCTTGTGGGACACTATCAAATAAATCACCAGAAGCTGGATGGTGGTGGCACACACATTTAATCCCAGCACTTGGGAGGCAGAGGCAGGTGGACCTCTGTGAGTTCGAAGCCTGGTCTATAAGAGCTAGTTCCAGGACAGGCTCCAAAGCCACAGAGAAACCCTGTCTTGAAAAACCGAAGAAGAAGAAGAAGAAGAAGAAGAAGAAGAAGAAGAAGAAGAAGAAGAAGAAGAAGAGGAGGAGGAAGAAGAAGGGGAAGAAGAAGGGGAAGAAGAAGAAGAGAGGGGGGGAGGAGGAAGGGGAAGGGGAGGAAGAGGGAGGAAGAAGGAGGAGGTCACCAGAAAGCCCTTTACAACGTATGTGAACTTGTGAAGGAGGAGGATTGTGCCTGGTCAACAGGCACCCATTCCCTGCTTGGGAAGCCCGCCTCCTCCAGTCCACGTGGTCTGTGGCCCCACTGGGAGACATGGGAAAATTTCCCAGGGGTACTCTAGGAAAGGTAGCAATCTAGATCACAGGTCAACAAAGACTGGAGTGTTGAGTGAAGTTCATTGACCCCAAAAAGATCAAGGTGTTTGTTCTGGACGAGGCTGACGTGGTGATAGCAACTCAAGGCCACCAAGACCAGAGCATCCGCATCCAGAGGATGCTGCCCAGAAACTGCCAGATGCTGCTCTTCTCTGCCACCTTTGAAGACTCAGTGTGGAAGTTTGCCCAGAAGGTGGTCCCAGACCCCAACATCATCAAACTTAAGCGTGAAGAGGAGACTTTGGACGCCATCAAACAGTATTATGTCGTTTGCAACAACAGAGAGGAGAAGTTCCAGGCCCTGTGCAACCTGTACGGGGCCATCACCATCGCCCAAGCCATGATCTTCTGCCATACCCACAAAACAGCTAGCTGGCTGGCAGCGGAGCTCTCCAAGGAGGGCCACCAGGTGGCTCTGCTGAGTGGGGAGATGATGGTGGAGCAGAAGGCAGCTGTGATTGAGCGCGTCCGAGAAGGCAAAGAGAAGGTCCTGGTGACCACCAACGTGTGTGCCCGTGGCATTGATGTTGAACAAGTGTCTGTCGTCATCAATTTTGACCTTCCTGTGGACAAGGACCGGAACCCGGACGAGACCTACCTGCACTGCATCGGGCGCAGGGGCCGCTTTGGCAAGAGAGGTCTGGCTGTAAACATGGTTGACAGCAAGCACAGCATGAATATCCTCAATAGAATCCAGGAGTGGCTGGGTTGCAAGTCCTATCCACCAGCTTTTGTACCACAGGCTCAAGGCTGTTATCTATGCATCTAAATTTTGCTGGTGACTTCCAGGGGCTGTCCCCATAAATATGGCAGAATTGGATGCAATCTGTATTTCAGCTGCAGAACCAGGAGGAAACTAGAGGCATCTGCCAGGTAACTCAGGAAACCACACTAGGCTGTGTATGGTTTTCTGTCTCTTTAAGAGACAAGCCATGCCCACTCCCTCCCCCATCAGCAGAGGCAGGCTGATCTTCAGCTTCTGGCCTGAGCTTGCTCTCATTTCCATCTTCCTCTCGGGGCAGCTTTGCTTCTGCCTCTCTCCCCACTTCTCCGCTTCCCCCCTTCTCTGTCTCTTTCTCCTCTCTCTCTCTCTCTCTCTCTCTCTCTCTCTCTCTCTCTGTCCCCCTCTTCACCCTCCCCCCTCCATAACTCCCTGAATAAACATTCAACCTCACTCTGCATGTCGTGTCTATGCATGTCTCTGTCTCCTGCCCACCCGCCATGTGTCTCCCTGCCTGGGACCAGCCATTGCTCAGGGACCAGCAGCCATCTCTGCCTGGGACTGGCTGCTCATAGGGCCCATTGTCTGCCGCCACATGGCCCGCTACCACCATTTGGGAGCTACAGCATTTTTGCTGCCTACTGCCACCGGGGATCTTGCAGCATTTTTTTAAAAAAATTATAAAAAGCTGTATCTGGTCCCTGGACACTCGAGGATTATCCTGTGCTTTGTGGACTGTCTGGGCTTCCTTACAGAAGGAGGGAAGCCTGAGAAGCCCGGTGGATGCCCTCTATAGGCACGGGGCTCTTGCCAATCACACGGGCATGCATGTGAGCCTGTGGTACTGGGATCTGGTTTCACTGGTGTCTTCCCATAGCCCTGGTCCTGTTGCTGACTCTCAGAGAATAAGAACACTTTCAAAATTGGCCACCAAGTGATGCAGACCGGAGAGCGAAGGTCTGCAGAGGCTGAGATCGCCAGCCGTCCGGACAGCTATGATGATTGCAATAAATGTGAGCACAACCTGTAACCTCACTCTTGAGAAGTCAGCTGGATGATCAGGGGTTTAAAGCCAGCCTCCCTTACATATCGCGTTCAAGACCAGCCTGGGTTGCATATGAGACTTGTACTCAAAACACCAACCACCCAGCCAGCCAACTGCTACACACGCAGAATATTCTTTATGAGCAAGTTCTTCATGAACCTTCCAGGCCCACCCACCTTCTGAGACAAGTTCGGTCGTAGCAATCGGACTGGGGGAAGATGGTGGCTTGCTAAGAATAAGTTTTAAAGGTTTTAATGTTCAGGCACAGGGATGGGCAATTGATGGCTTTCAAAGAGAATAAAAAGAGCTCAAGATAATTCGATTCTCATCTGCACCATTTTAACTCCCACAATCTCTGTAGAACTTTTTTTTCTTTTATTTTCAACTTTTTGTCAGAATCAGAATTAAGCAACATGATCCCAACCCTTCATACAACCCCTTACCTCAGCTGGACTTGCATGTCATGTGCATTGCATTCTGAGCACTTTTAAAGCATAGTTTTTTTTGTTTTTGAGTGAAATGGTGGAGGTGCTTGTCTAGGCTCACTTTGTGGAATGAGGGGAAAAGCAGAATTTTGCGGAATATTTCTTTGCACTGTGTGAAGCTGTGTCACTGTAATTGGTTTGATGAAGTGCATCCAGGTCAAAGCGTGCTCGTGTGCACTGCAGTATGACTCCAGGTCAGAGCCTGTTTGTGTGCACTGCAGTGTGACTCCAGGTCAGAGCCTGTTCGTGTGCACTCCAGTGTGACTCCAGGTCAGAGCCTGTTCGTGTGCACTGCAGTGTGACTCCAGGTCAGAGCCTGTTCGTGTGCACTCCAGTGTGACTCCAGGTCAGAGGCTGCTCGTGTGCACTGCAGTGTGACTCCAGGTCAGAGCCTGTTTGTGTGCACTGCAGTGTGACTCCAGGTCAGAGCCTGCTTGTGTGCACTGCAGTGTGACTCCAGGTCAGAGCCTGCTTGTGTGCACTTCAGTGTGACTCCAGGTCAGAGTCTGTTCGTGTGCACTGCAGTGTGACTCCAGGTCAGAGCCTGTTCGTGTGCACTGCAGTGTGACTCCAGGTCAGAGCCTGCTCGTGTGCACTCCAGTGTGACTGCTAATAGTGGAGGAAGCCATGGACTTGGAAAAACAAAAACTCTTCGATGTCTGTGGTGCCTGGAGATTTGCGAGCTTCGTGAATTCTGTTTTCCCTCCCTGGGAAAGATGAACTCAGCAGTCTCCCCCAACTCCCGGGGCAGGGAGAGTCATAGGTTGAGGCTGTGCCACATTCAAGAAAAGAAACTAAGCTGTGGTGTTGTTTACCCAAGAGTGGGTCTGATTTGCCCTGCTCTGTCCTGGTCTCTCAGTCCAGGGCCGTCCTCTCGACTGCACAGCTGCACAGCACGGCACGGCAGTCATGAGGAGGAAAGAGGGACTTCTGTGTTAGCGTGTGTAGGAGCCTAACAATGCTGGGACTGTTTACGGGGTGTCACCAACCTATGCTCATATGTTTCTTCCAATTGTTTTCTTGGGTGTGCGGTGGGTATTGCTTTTGAGATCTCTTTGCTTCCAGTGAATGGTCTTTGGTCTATTGCCTCATCATACACATATATGCATCGTTCTGAGTCAGGGACCTGAATGGGTCATGAAGGATAAATAAGAAGAAAGAGAAATACAAACACATACACACCAGAGTGTCTAAAGCATAGGAGTTTGATTTACATACACTGCCTTCCTGTTGCTACTTTAAAAAAAAACAAAAACCTTTTGTTTTATTTCATGTGTACAGGTGTTTTGTCTGCGTGTATGTCTGCACATATCATGCCTGGTGCCCTGGTGCCAGATCACCTGAACTGGAGTTAGATGGTTGCAAACCACCATATGGGTGTCGGGAATTGAACCTGGCTCCTCCTGAAGAGCAGCACACAGCGCTGCCGTGCCCTCTCTCCAGCCCCTACGCTGCTTTTCTTAGAGGTCGGTTCATTCGGAACAGTCTGAATTGGCAGTGAAGGAGAATGAGCACACGACTATAAATGATCCCAAAGCACGTTATAGACTTGGCTACATGTGAAGTTTGCTTTGTAAGGGCAAAGCTTCAAACCAACAGCTTTCTCAGCAGCCTCTCCTACAGGAGGCCCCTCCCGACACCGTGATTCCTAAGGTGGTACCTAGGGTGAGGCAGGGGTCTCCAAATCTCCACAGTGAGGCAGTGGTTTCCAAACCTCCACAGTTCTGCGGAAGGCTATTAGGTGTGTGGGAGCCATTTCTTTTGGCATCTAAGTCACAAGCCCTAGTTTGGCCCGGTGACCTTAAAAGTGTTGGGGCAGTCCTCAGGATGCTAAGGGTGTCAGGGTGGAACTGTGTCCCTGTCCAAATGCCGACAGTGGAGCCACACAAAGCTTCTTAGCTGCCCGCTGACTCCTGAGAATAGGCGGGCACCCATGCCTTGTGGTGGTCTAGATCACCCACCCAGTGTCGCCTTCCTTTAGAAACTCTACCTGGAGCGTTGGGTGAGGTTCTGTCCTTCCCTGGTTTGACTACAGCTGCAGAGAAACGCACTATAAAAGAAACCACCAGGTGGCGCCCCAAAGCCAGCCAGACACAATATCATAAAGCTGCATAAATAGCTCACTAAAATCACTCGTACCTTTCAGGAACCTTCCATCCCTCCATATGCTTTCTAGTGACCTCCCTAGAATTTCATTTCACTTATCTAAAATCCTTGTATCCCTCTTTGTGTAAAGCTTTACGCTCTGACCATTTCTCTCTGTTTTCAATTGCTTGTGAAGCTCGCCATGTACACGGAGGAAGAAAACTCGATGGGGCTGTGGATGGAGCTCTGCTGGTAGAGGGCTTGCCTAGCATGCACGAGACCCCGGATTCCACACCTAGCATCCAATAACACCAAGGATAGAGGCACCCACTACAATCCCAGTGCTTTGGGGGCGGAGATAGGAGGTTCAGAGGTCCAAGGTCATCCTCAGATACATAAGCCAGACTAGAATATATGAGACTCTGTCTCAAAATAAAAAAGTAAGGCTGGAGAGATGGCCTAGCAGTTAAAAGCAGGTACTGCCTCTTGCAGGGGACCAGAGTTTGGCTCTAGGCACCCATGTGGGTAGTTACCTTGCCTCTGTAACCGTGACCTGTGAAGTCAGGCAGTGACATGGAAGAATTAACTGTGACCTGTGAAGACATTTTAGGGCTATTTGAACTAATTATATTTTCTTGAAACTGTAGTGATAAAGCTAATATGTAATCAAAAGTAAGCCAGAGCTTTGGCAGGACTGAGCCTCTGGTTCTAGCAGCCCTAGCCGTCAGAGCAGAGCTGGGACTCCAGCTGCAGTGGGCTTGGAGTCCTCTGAGAAACCAGAGCTCCCAAAGGCCAGTGTGGGACTGCTGCCTTAACTTCTGAGGTCCTAGTGCTCACTGTGGGACTGAGAGCTCCACTCCTCTGGTTCCAGAAGTCACATCAAGTCTGTGGTTCTGACCACGGCCCCCAGTGGTGTCACAGAATCCAAACCATCATCAGCGTTTTGACGTCATCTGGTCTCCTTGGTGTTTAGTATAGTTTGGTCCTTAACGAACTTGGAATATCCTCAGGGATTCTGTGACAGCCAGCACCATTTTCACCTTTGGCTGAACTCCATACAGACATCACTCTAGGAAGGGTCAAGAAAACAAAACATCCAGATAAACTCAAAAAGAAGTCAAAACTGAAAAATAACTCACTCCAACAGACATGTGAGACACAGCAAAGAAAGAACACAACACACCCACCACCATGGCTGTGTCTATCCAGCCAACTGCCCTATAGTGGATTCCAAAATTACAGAGAGAGCTGAATCATGGGAGAATGCCATACGAGAGGAAGGCTGGACAGATGTATTGGCCAATCTGTGAGCGAATAGCGGATGGCTAACGGAATCCGACCCCTCTCAGGGTTCAATTAAAGACACAGCAATAGATAGATGAAGGGGGCTAGAACCGAGTTAAGAAGTCTGTTCACAACAGGTTCTGTCTATCCATGTTTCTTTATTCTTCTTTTTGAAATCTCTTGTTACAAACATTCCTAGTAATATATACCCTTACAACTAGCAATTCCCCAGCCCTAGCAGGTTCCAGGACTGAAATTCTTTTCCCCATAAAAATCAGATAAGAGTTTTCACACACACACACACACACACACACACACACACACCGGGGTGGGGGGAGATCCGTGGCTGTGGCTGTCAGCTCAAAGGTGGGAGTGGCTAGTGAATGTCTGATGAAGTCCTTAATGGAGAAAATTAGTTAAGAAAGAAATTAAATCATCAGGGAATTCTAGAGGGGAAGGTTAGTGCACGCGGCAGATAAAAGAGCTAAAAGGTTTATTTTCAGTGAAATTATGAAGAGGGCATGGATTGTTTTTTCAAATCAGAGCACCACTTCTTTTCTCCCAACATGCATAGAGGATGCTGGGTAACCAGGCAACCAACGTAAACAGTCGGGGAAAGCTAATGGTTCCTGATCTGATTAGTACATTCACCAGATGCTGCAATTTCTAAGAGACCTAAGTCTGGAGTTTACACTGACTGAAAGAGGAGACCCAGGTCTCTAAATGATCAGTTCTGGAGTATGCTGTTAATCAGCTGCTCTGACTGAGGGCATAGTGGGTCTGTGGCTCTAGCAGGAAGTGGCTCTTTCTCTGGATTGCAGTTAATTATCTCTTTTGCTGTACTTAAGAGTAAAACACAAGCAGTAAATTTCCTGAACTAAAATCATCAGTAAAACTGAGGTGAAAGTGAGCACAAGGAGTTAGCGATCTTTTAATGAAAGTCAGTTTTGGGCCATTGTATTCCTTATCGATAAGTGAGATAAAATTAGGGCAGCAGCTCTGACAGTAGTAATTCCATGTCCTTGGAGATCGGTGATGCCCCTTCCTGGACCCTGAACACCGACCAAACGCCTGCGGATAAAGATCATTGCAGGAAGGCAGATCTCTGCACTTACCTAGGAGAGAGGAATG